AAAGAGATGGATGAGATTCGCGCCTTGAATGTTATCTCGAAACATGTAGTATCAGGCGAAAGGATCCAGACAGTTTTTCGATTGAGGATACGACTCGGAAACAAGAGGAATGAAAGCGTAAAATGGTTCCTACATGTTTCGACTGAGATCGATAAACGGGATCCGCTCCGCCGTTTCCCCGATAATTATGTACCCCCTCGTTCGTTAACATTAACGAAGCAAAAACGCGTTGACTCGCTCGGGGATGCGCGCGAGTACGTATATCCTTGCCGGCAGCCGAGCCGCGGCACGCGCGCTGTCCTGCTTCTGCTAAACTCGACAGTAGCACCCAGAGCTATTACCCCCCTTTTCTCTTTCTCTCTCTTTCTGCCGCGCGCGAACCGTGCACCACCGTAGGCGACCCCACTCGATTCGCCCCTCAAAAAATCATTACGCCCTTCCACGGGCTGCGCATGAACGCGGTTTTAATTCGCTACTAGAAAAGTAAAATGTAAACGGTGGTGGGCTCGAGGGCCCGTCAAGGGGCGGGTGGTGGCTGGTGGCGGGCTTCGGGAGGATGAGAAAAAGGCGGATAGAGAGCGAGAGAATCGCGGGGGCGGGAGCGGGAGCGGTAACGGCACATGGACTGGAGGAGGCGGCGACGGTACTTTTTTTGGGTGGGTGCCGGACGACGGGGTGGGAGACGAAGTTTCGCGGACGTGGTCGAGGACGAGGCGAGCGAGTGTACGAGGAATGAAGCGACTGCGAGAGCGCGGCGTAGGACAGATCCTTTTTCCTCCGACTAGCGACTAGCAGGAGGAGGAATATGACGGCGGGAGAGGATGGGGCGCGGTAGAGAGATGGAGGGGTTGGAGGTGGAGGCGAGAGGAGGATATACTGCGCCCCTACTTCTCTAGGGGTTCCATTGTAATATTTATTGATTGGATTCCTAGGAGCCCAGGCTGTGAGGGCTGTGGCACCTATGCTTGGACTAGATTGCGTACGAGCGCTCGCGATGTTCCTCGATCGAGCCGCCACTTTTTCCATCACGCTTTTTCTTTCATCTCTTTTGCCTCCTTTTTTTCGCGCGTTCACCTACCGATGTTCTCCCCTCCCCTCTCTCTATCTCTCTTTCTGTATGTGTGTACATGTGTGCGTATGTGTGCGTATGTGTGCGT